ATACGCCAGGCGCATGCGCCATGGCCAGCCGCCAGACATCGCGAGTGAATCGTACCAAACTGAACTGGCAGAAAGTCTACAACAAAAAAGAAGAAGAAACAAAAAAAAAAAAAAAAAAAAACGCAGCAACAAATTATGTGCAAGCAGCTGGCTGGGTGTTTGCAGCAATAACAACAATTTGCAGCCATATTTTGGCAGTTTTGCGCCTGTTTATGCGAATACATGCGTAAAAGTCTACACAGCATAAGGCAGCACGCAGCAAGTCTACAAACATCAGCCGTAAACCGGCTAAGCGCTTTGCCTTGCTCTCTTGCTGCCCCCCCCCCCCTCTCCCTCCCTCTCACGCACTCTTTTGCCGTTTGACTGATTAGCCAGCGTCGCTGTCGCAGTCGCTGCCGCTGCCGCTGCCGCTGTCGCTGTCGCTGTCGCTGTTTTGTGTGCATGTGTGTGCGCGCATAATTTAAAACAATATCCAGAGATTTGTTTTGCCATTTATATGTTAAATATGACAAGTCAAGTCGTTGTTGTTCGCTTTGTACTTGTTCGAGTTGTTGTTGTTGTTGTTGCCTGTTTGATTAGCAGCTGAGTTACAGCAACATTTCGCTTGCTCGAACAACAGATGCTCTGCATATTTATGTCGCCAATGTATTCAATTCAAGGCAATGCACATGATGTGGCTTCTATTCATTGGGCAATGCATTAGCGCACACAATAATGACAAATTTACGTTTCTTTAATATGCTTCATAATTTCATTTGCTTTGCCAAATGATTGCATTTGTGTGTGTGTGTGTGTGTGTGTATTTTTGTTTGTGTATCTGAATTTTAATTCAATTTGATGTACATGTATTACTAAACGTTTTAACTTAGTCAAAGGCTAGATTCAATTTGCTTTTTGATTTGCAGCTCCATGTCAAATTAAGTGCCTTTGTATTTTTTTTTTTCTCCTCCTGGGCACACACACACACACACACGTGCACGCACGCATAGCATGCCCATTCATTTTCAGGGCTAGGGAAATTTTGAATGTTGGCATTTGCTTAGCTCCTTCCTCGCCTGCTCTCCATCTCGCCTTTGCCCCATGGCGCTATGTCTATCCTATGTCTGTCTATGTGTCAATGTGTGAAATGAGCTTCAAGTACAGCAACAAAAAAAAAAAAACAAACAAAAAACAACTGACAAGGACGCTCATATGAAAACAAACGCATAATTTAAGCGTAATTGCTGTCATTTTTCATTCAAGTGCGACAGTGGGTGAGGCTGGTGGTGGTAGTGGAGGGGGGGGGGGGGGGGGGGTGTGTGTGTGTGTGTGTGTGTGTGTGTTGAGGCTAGCGGTTTGGGGATGCTGTTGATGGAGTCCTGCTGGGACGACTGCGACTGCGACTGCGATTGCGATTGCGACTGGCAATTGCGGATGAGACTGCGACCGAGGCTGCTCCAGTTTTGTGTCCGTGTCGCCGGCTCGTCCTCCGCACGCCCCCCCCCGCCTTACATGTGTGCATATTTACGCCCCCCCTTCCACACACTTGTGTGTGTGTGTGTGTGTGTGTGTTGAGTGCCCGCATCCGGCGCTGAAACGCCAATAATTATGCCACCGTTTTTTTTTTTTTTGTCGCTGTTCTGCTGTTTTTTCTTCTTCTTGCAGTCGTTGACTGTGGCGCCCCCTGGTGACCAGCCTTTGCAGCAATTGGCCGACTTTTGTTGCAGCTTCTGTTGTTCTTGTTGTTGGTTATTGCGCCCTGCCTAATCACATTAAGCGCCGGAAAAAAAAGAGAGAAAAAATGCTAAAATAAAACTTTTTCGCGGAGACTATCAAATGTCAGGCTATCATCATCATCGTAGTTGTTGTTGTTGTTGTTGTTGTTGTTGCACCTGCACCTTTGGCGGCCATTTGTTTGTGGCATTGTCCTGCGTCCTGCGTCCAGCGTCTCCTCTGGCTTTTGGTTGGCCGTTTGCCAACTCGACTCGACTCGACTCGACTCGACTCGAGTTCAGTTCGCTTGGGTTTTGCGTTGTTGAGTGTTTCGTTTGTTTGTTGCTTTGTTGTGGCAGCATTTGTTGTTGCTGTCGCATGCCGCAGCGTTCGCAACAATCGCACTTTCACCACGCCCAATCGCCGCCCTGTTCCTTTGTGCATTGTGTGCGTTTGGCCGCACTTGCCACAGAATTTGCTTTGAGCACGACCTCTGCCTCGTGCCCCCTGTCCGCTGACCTGTGCCAGATCATTTGCCATTTGACTTGCCCACATCTCTTGCACCCACTCTCGCTGCCGCCACAGTTGCCCCAATTTCGGGCTGTAATTTAACAAAATATAAAAAACCAAAGAAACCTGCGATTTCTAGATTCTAGACATTTGATATCGACCATGTTTATATCGCTGAGCAAACGGGCAGATATTTTGTTTGATAAAAGTATCTGTTCATTTGGCAACATCAAATCTGAGTGGAATCTCTCAACTCACAAATGTTGTATGTTAAATGTAACAATATCATAAATATATGTGCAGCTTGTGGCTGCATTGAAAGAAGTTCAAATTAAGTTACGTCTGCTTAGAGCTAGGTAAGTGGTATCTCAAGGCTGGGCATGCTCTAACAGCCATGCAGCCATCAAAAGGAACATTTTTCAAATCGAACAAATGAAAAAAGAAAAGTTTACAATTAACGATTTTCCAAGAACAAGTCAAGCGAGTCATTCGATTGGTTTCGAAAGGTTGCAAAGGATTTGTCCGACTAGCTCGGAACTTAGTTTCAAAGGATATCTTTGGCATGCCGCTTCTGTTGTCATTTGATAGAAATGAAATAGTGCCATCTCTAAAGGACTTGCTCATATATAAACAGCATAGTTGGTCTAGTACTTAGTAGATGCCTGGTTGGGCAAAGATATCTTGATGAACAAAAAAGTATTTCATGCAACAACTTTATTTTCGACCGATCGTTTCTATTTCAGGTAATTGTTATAGGGTTTTTTATATATGATGAGAAACAATGTAAAACTAATCGATTTCCCATACTTTCCGTGTCTTCTTACATTGAATTAATGAAATTGAGAAAAAGAAAATGTTTAAGCTAAATCTAAGAAATCTGAATACAAGAAAGGAAAAGAATCATGAAACTAATTCAACTCGGTAAATACGTTAAATTAGTACGAAAATGTCTGCAAAGAATTGCAAAAAATTAATTTGGTCTAATATATATTAAAAAACAAAGAATAATTTCTTATTTTAATATTTTTTGTTTTGCTTTTGAAACTAAATTTTGAAGTTCAAGTTGTTCTGACTTTTACAAGCAAGCCTTTTAGAGCAGAGTCGTGCTAGCTCAAACAAAGACATGCAAAATCTTAAATGAAGATTTGTAAAATCTTTATATGCAAGGCCTAAATCAAAATATTCAAATATGAAACGGCTCGTTCACTGATTTTGCACATACATTAATCTATGTACAGAAGTCGCCAGTAAAAGCCTATAAACACCTACATACATGCATGCATACATGCGTATGTATGTACAGCTTGTACATGCTTACATAGACGCACACAGACACATGCATACATGCGTGCATACATACATGCGTACATGCATGCATACATACATACATACAAACATGCACACATGCATGCATACATACATGCGTACATACATACATGCGTACATACATGCATCAATACATGTTTGGAATGCGCATGCTGGAATAATTTGTGATTTCGGTTGGGTCTGGCGCCAGCATGGATAAATTCCTTCGTTGATCCTACACGGAAAGCCGAAATGTAGGAAAGTAGAAAAGTTAGAGAAGTAATTGTTCCTGTTTTAGAATCTTTTCCGCGAAAAGTAAAATTCGCTCGCCAACATGAATTTAATCGCCTCGTTGAACAATATTCGTTTATTCGCAGTTTCGAGTTGAGAGCACGAGAGAAAGAAATATAAAATATTTAAAAAGAAAATATCAGCGAAAGTTTTCTGCCAGAGCTTAGAACTTTGTGCCAAAAGCGGACTTAGACGAAACCGTATAGCGAGCAAAAGTTTCTTACTTTTGTTACTTTTGCCTATATTTATGTTTTACAAAAAGTTTCATTTCGCTTAGTTTAGAATCGAGCAGCGAATTTTGTCGATATTGATAATTACTTAAATTAGTCTTCCTTTATTCAAGACGAGGACACTTGAATTAAGCATGAATATACCTATTTTGAGTGCACTTTGTGCTTACTTTTTGAGACAAAACTTGACTCAAATTCGGAAATACTTATGTTCAGATTATTTTGTCATTATTTCAATTGCAATTTCTGCAGTTTGCCTTCGTACTTAATTTTAGTTACAGATTTTAAGAAATTTTGATTCAAGCTGAAATTGTAGTTAAATCAATAACAATCGGATTATTCCAAGAACATTTTAGGACCCATTTCAATTAAGCAAATACTTCGTAGCAAATCGCACTTTAAATAAAAAGGTACTCCTTGACTTTGGTAAATTGAACGTTAGTGAGAAATTCTGTTTTGTGTGGGCGGGGCCGCATAATACTTGATTATTTCGCTCTGTGTAGTCGCACGCGTTGCCACACAAGCATAATTTGTTGTAATTAACATAACGAGCCAGCCCAAGCAATAATGGGCCAAGTCACCCGCTCGCATCCACACACGGACAAATTGAACGCCTACACGAGGAAAATGTAAGCAGAAATTGCGACTCCTGCTGCGGCTGGCGAGGCCCAAGGATGGGTGTGGGTGGTTTGGGTTGGGTTGGGTTGGCTTGGGTTGAGTTGAGTTGCGTTGAGTTGGTTTAGTCAATGTTGCCCGCATTTGTGTATAATTAATTTGGTTTTGGACAGCGCACCTGCCGCACCTGGTCCCCGCCGCATTTATGCAAATTACTTTATGCGACAACATTGAAAACTTGAGCACAATTTTCTAGACGTACAATAACAAGCGTAATACAATTATGCTCTTAGAATAACAGATATTCACAACATTTTCTCTCTCTCTCTCTCTCTATCTTTCCCCCTCTCTTTGCAGCAACAAGTTGTCGAACTATCTGGTTATGTTATCATTCTCGTTGAGAATGCGGAGGGTAAAATTAAATTATACGGCTCACCGTCCGATCGCGATAATCTGGAAGTGGGCGATGAGATACTCGAGGTCAATGGACTCACCCTGGACAATATATCGCGCACTGAGGCCATACGACACATACACGATGTAAGTTGCCAATGATTGCGATTTCAAAAAAAAAAAATGTCTTTAATTTCACATTATTTTTTGCAGTGCATTAAATCCTGCACAATTTGTTTGCGTGTGCGCAAGAAAAATGATTCGAGATTGGGTAAGTTCCATTTAATATTCTTTTGAATTAGATTTAAGTATTTTTTTTATTTAGCAATTAGTTATACGTACTGCATCTGATCCGATAAGTCAATCTCCGGGAACTTTTGTGTAGCATACTTTGCTTCGTGTAACAAGAAGAAGACACATATTTTGTTGATCAAATTTAAAAAATGCTGCATAAAGAGTGGGGGTTCTTGAAATTCTGTTAAATGTGAACAATTGAAATGTTGATAACATTTCGTTGACATTCTGTTAGCGCAATGGCTTTCAAAGCGCGCAGTCAGCTGATTTCATATACAAGCTTCAGTGGCCACTCAACTGTACTCTGGCCAGCCAGTCGAACTTATTCCGTTCGTTCGCTCTTACTCCATATCTCGCTCTCTCCGGCTCATGCTCTCTTGCGCTTAGCGCTAGTTCGGGCATCGCGCGCAGCTTTTTGACGCTTTTGTTTTTGCAATCGTTTTGTGGTCAGCTTCAAACGTTTTACGCTCACGCTCCGGCTGTCGCTCTCGCTGCTCGATGCTCTGTTGTGTGCCCAACTGCGGCTTTGGCGCTGCGCAGCGCCAACTAATCGCATCAGTTGTGTGGCAACAGTCGCCGTTTGTCGTACCGTTCACAGCGTTGCTCTTTTCGTTGTGCTGCACTTTGTTTCGTTTAGTTTGCGTCGTGCCGGCTTTCATGTACGTTCCCCATCCATCGCCCCATATTATATTTAGTGTCTACGTCTGTGCGCGCGCGTTGCGGTCTTAGGGCGTTTGCTTGGCTGCTGCGTCTGCGCCAGCGTCAGCGCCAGCGTTTCATTGCCATTTCGTTTCGTTCTAACGCGCATTTTGTTTTTTCTTTGCTTGTGCTGTTCAGTGCTTGTGCTTCTTCATTTTTGTTAATTTTTTTTTTTTTTTTGTGTAACAAATTTGATTTGTTTATGCACACATTCAAACGTATCTATGCTCAGTTGACGCCTACAGCGACGCCGCTTAACTAAAGTAAGTGTTAACCAATGCTTGCCAAACTGCATAAGCTTGCTGTCCCCTGCCCGCACGCTTGCCTGTCAGCCGTCAGTCGGCCACAGCTGCCAGCTGAGCTAAACGCGATCCATGAATCAGCAGCAGAGACGGCGACGGCGACAGCGACGTCAACGTCAACGTTGCGTTTTCGTGCTCTTTTTGGTGCTTTTGTGTTTTTGTTGTGCGGTGCGAAGGGCAGGCGGCAACATTCATGCAGTACACGCAGCGCTGAGATACATTTGTAGAACAGCAACATTTTCATTTTTAGCTGTATTTCTTTTTTTTTTTTTGTTTGCCTCTTCTTTTTGCCGGCATTGTTGACATTTCTTCACTCGGAAACTCAAAAAGTTTTACCTGCAAAACGGCAATTGTGGCTGCGTGTGCGCGCGTGTGTGTGTGTGCGTGTGTGTATGTTGATTCAGACTTTAGACGTCGGTTATAAGCCGTTAACACAGCTGTCAATTTTTATGCATCTATTTTTTATATATATCTATATATATATTATTTTTTTTTTTCATTTTTATTATTCATGAACTGTGCGAGAGTGCAAAAAAGTCACAGGCAGCTGTTAAAAAAAGGAAAACCAAAGCAATGCCATGCATAAAGAAAACGGCGGCAACAACAACAAATGCAAATGTGTATGGAATGGAATGGAATGGAAAATGGGAAGTGGCCAGTGGCCAGTGGGCGGTGGGCGGTGGGCGTCCAGTGCAGAGTCATCCGACTGGAAATTGTTGTTGTTGTTGTTGCTGTACAAAAATAGAAGATTTAAGAAAAACGTAATAATAATAATACTCTAAACGATAGCCGCATTTAACTAGCAGCATTTAATACTGCAATTAAAATGAAAATATAGCAAGAAAAGCTGCTTACAGTTTGAGCTGCGCTGCCAGCGCTTTGCTTGTAACGGCAACTCGGAAACTAACCTGAAAACGAAACGAGTTTTATTGTGTGAAGTGTGTGGAAACTATGAAAAAAAAAAATCAAACACTACAAAAATGCACAATTCATAAAATACGACAAAAACATGAATTGGGCATAGTTTTAAATGCCATTTTACTTTTTCGACTGAAATATGTTAGAATTTTAGGGGGCGTCACACCCCCTTCCCCTGCTCCAAATATGGGGCGTAAGTCCAAAAAGTAGAGATAATTGGAATTGTGATTGATTTAATAGAAACATAAATATATTTGACATTCGATTTAAATGCACAACTGGCATGCAACAAAATGGAATTGGCACACGCATTGTTCATACGTGAATCGAGCAAATAAATTTACATTTTAGATACACTATGGACTCAATATTAATTGTCTTCAAGTCATTATAACTGGCGTACACGCAATATGCGATTCGTTTCCATTTAATTTAGCAGCACAAAGCTGCTTTTCCCCGTAAACCATGTTTACCAACTATGAATGCAGCTATTATTAGACTTTCTGTGAAATGCGCCAGCGGGTTGCCAGTCCCAGCCTCGCTCCCCGCTATCCGCCACAGTTTGAAAGCGAAGCTCGAACCGAGTCCGACCAGACCAGCACAAATATCTCTTTTTTTCTAATACAGCACTTCTCGTGGCGTACAGGTCTCGAGATTCCACGAACTCGACCATTTTGCTTAATTGATTGAAACGCTTTTCCGTCGAGTGAAAGCCGGAGGGTGTCGATTATGCAATGGCTCTACGCCTTGGCGAGACATGCCCATAATTATGGCAGCGGGCATTGGCTCGCTGTTCTACATTTAGTTTTTTTTTTCTTAACAGCTTAAATGCGACTTTAAAGCTGCCGTTTAGTAATTATGCCAGCTGGCCATGCTCAGCCTTGTCGAGTTATTCCGAATTCCACGCATTTTCCGCTCGTGGAAATCTAACTAAATATAATTCGTGCGTTGAGCCTGTTATGCATAAGATAACCCAGCTATCGTTTAACTATTGAGATCTTTAAGAGTATGCCTAAAGTTGATTGCAATTTCCAAACGCTACGTTTAAGAGGAAATCTAACTTCCTTTTGTGCCATTTACTCAGAAAAACAAACAGTCCATACAGTATACATATGTATGTATGTGTGCATGTATGTGTGAATATCAAGAGTAAATGGGGCTTAACAAGTCTATAACTTATTTTTAGGTGCACTTTTCTTTGCTTTGCCTGCAACTTGTTCGCTTGGATACAGTCGTTTCTAATGTTTCTCTTGATTTGTTTGTCTTCTTCTTGAAAACATAATGCCACATCGACATTGACACATTATGTTCATCTTATTTTTATCTCCATATCCGTATGTTTCTATGTGTGTGTGTGCGTGTGTGTGTGTGTGTGTGTGTGTGTGTGTGTGTGTAAGCCACATATTGATATATTCTCCTCAGTCCCCTTTGATTTTGTTTTTTTTGGGTCACAGAATCCAGCAAAATGGGCGCCAGAATTTCCAGTTTTCTTCTTTAAGCCGAAAAAGAAGTTACTTATTACTTACTTGTTTGCTAACACACACACACACACACACACACACACACACACACACACACACACACACACACACACACACATGCACACAGACAAACGCTAACATTCCAAAGTCATGAATTTGTTGTATAAAGCGAAATCAATATAAAGACGAAGACGATGAGAGCACAAGGGAAGAGCAGAGCGCGAGGAGAAGAGAGACAGACAGAGAGAGAGAGAGAACGAGAGAGAGAGAGAGAGAGAGCGAGCAGCACTTCTTGTCTATTGCCCACGGTCCGTGCAGGTGTGAGCGTAGGCGTGTGAGGGGCGTGGAGCGGAGGGGGGGGGGGAGTGGCTTGCTGCTAGCTGGGTCAGCATCCAAAATCCGGTAAGGCAAGTTTCTTGGCGTCTCTGCTCTCTGCTGGCAGCGAGTCAATTGTGTGAGTTGCTTTACGAAATTTACACGCGCTCGCTGATGTCGGATACAATTGAGCGCTTACACACACACACACACACACACACACACACACACACACACACACGGGTGGTGTAGCTGGGCAGCCGTGTGCTGCGATGTGTAAAAGTCATTGCCTCAGTTGGCCATAAAATTGCATGGCACACACCAACAGATACGCTGCAGAGTGTCTATCAGAGGGAGGGAGGAGAGGGGCATCAGGGGAAGCAGCTTAGAAGCTGGCTAAGACACAAGCTTGACCTCAACGTCCTGGCACAAAGTCGCAGCAGCTGCAGCAGCTGCAGCAGCAGCTGATAAGCTCTCAATGCGAATGCGTGCAACAAAATGTTGCAACTTATAAAAACCAGCGCAATTTGCACAAAGTAACTAGCTCAAAGTGACAAACGCTTGACGTTTGACAAATGAAAAACGAACTGGTACGCGCGGCCTTACCACAAATTGACTTTGCAGCGAAATTATCGATTCCTATCAAAAAAAAAAAAAAAAATTCTAAGGAAACAAAACTTGAGCAGAGGATTTCCAAATGTATGTAACACGCAGAAGGAAGCATCTCCGACCCCATAAAGTATATATATTCTTGATCAGCATCAATAGTCGAGTCGATCTAGCCATGTTCGTCTCTCTGTCTGTTCGTATGTAGAACGCAAGGATCTCAGAACATGTAAGAGCTATAGACTTGAAATTTTAGATGTAGGTGCTCCTAGTGCCTGCGCATATCGAGTTTGTTTCCGATAATCGATAACTTGCTCCGTTTCCAAGCAATCGATAAGAATCGATATCGATATCCTGTTTTTTGGGCAATTTTGGTAAATAATAAAAGCTAGAGTCACGAAACATGATATGTTGCTTCTAAAATAGAATATATATGCATTTGATGTTGGAAGCAGGGGGTTCAGGGTATCCCCTAGTCGGGAGCTCCCGACTTTTATTTTTGTTCTCTTTTTCTGGCGCCTTTGGTAAGTCGATTTATCCAGCAAACACATAAATACTTTCGTTTTATAAAAAACACATTTTAAACTTCGATCATATATTTAGCACATTTTCGACGTTGCAATTCTTATACCCTGTGCCTATAGAAAATAGCTAAA